GGCAGGCTTGCAGGGTATACCCTTTGGTTGGTTGATGATGCATGGACAAGATTGAAACTATGGCAATGAAACAATACATGATAGAATGAATGTAAAACTAATCTTCTCCCATGTAAACTATCACATAATTCACAATAAAACATTTATTAAAAACAAAACAAAACTAGATGTACAAATAACCTAAATATCAAATTAAATAAGGGCAATTTTCTCATGTGTAAATTGGGAATCCTCACACCTATCCTCAAGATGCTGCTGATTAAACACATAAAGTCAAGTGCCAACAGAGAGCCTGACATTTATAACTCATTACACAAAGTTAAGGATTTCTTGAAAATTGTACTGGAAAGTAATTTTTAAAACTCGCATAACAATCAGGCTCTACAGCACTTCAATAGAACACAGGGGATCTTTCTTTACATGACCCACTGATGTATAAGAGTCACTGATAGTCATAGACGCACTGATGGGTTTTGAGAATTTTACAGATTAGTTCAAACAAATTCTTGTTACCTATCAGGTGTAAAGAGTCCTTGTGTGGCACTGTGGACTAATGCACTGGACTGCAAAGTGGGTATGAACTGCAAGGTCACTTCTTGGAAACCCTATACAGGGTTGCTATGAATTGGAACCAACTCGACAGCACTTCACAACATTAGATGTAAAGAAAACAAAATTCCTCACTACTGGACCAATAAACAACATTCACATAAATGGAGTAAAGATTGAAGTTTCCAAAGACTTCATTTTGCACAGATCAACCATCAACACTCATGGAAGCAGCCATCAGGATATCAAATGACGTAACGCATTAGGCAAATGTGCTGCACAAAACCTTTTAAAGTGTTGAAGAGCAAAAATGTCAGTTTGAGGACTAATGTGCGCCTGACCCAAGCCCTGGTATTTTCAGTAACCCCATATGCTTGCGAAAGTTGGACAGTAAAAAAGGAAAACCATAGAAAAATTGATGCATTTGAGTCATGGTGTTGGAGGAGAAAATTAAAAATACATGGACTGCCAGAAGAACAGATCAATCTGTATAGCCAGAGTGTTCCTTGGAAGCCAGGATGGCCAGACTTTTCTCATAGTTCAGGCATATTATTAGGAGGGACCAATCCCTGGCGAAGGACATCATGTTTGGTAAAGTGGTGGATCGGAGTAAAAAGAACGACCCCCAACAAGTTGAACTGGCCCAGCTGCAGCAACGATGGGCTCAAATGTAGCAATGATTATGAGATTGAGTCAGGATGAGGCAGTGTTTCGTTCTGTTGTGCACAGGGGCGCTTATATGTCGGTACCGACTTGATTGCACCTAACAACAATATTAGATAAGCATCGGACTGCTAATCACACGTTGGAAGTTTAAACCTACCAGCCATTCCTCAGAAACCCTATAAGGGATTGCAATGAGTTGAAAATGACTCAATGGCACTTAACAACAGCAACAATTACATTTATTAAAAAGCAAACATCATCTTACTGGGTAGCATTTAGCTTTTTAAACTGCATTCTCTCAATTATAGGGAGAAAAGGCAGTTAGTTAGGCAATATAGTTGTAGACCTATCTCTTGACACACTGAAAGATAAAAATAATTCTAATAGTCCTTGTAATGACAATTTTCTGAAGAAAACATTGGTGGTGGCTACAGGTGTTTGGTAATCTGACATAAGCCCAGATTTAAGAACAAATTTAGTACAGCAAGCCCTGAAGTAAGAAAAAATTATTTTATAGTAGCACAACATTGCGGTTTTATAAAGTCCACTAACAGCAGTGGAAAGATCAGTAGATTAAGATGTTTCAGTGTTGATCAGCAACTTTCAAACATTTTGACCACAGTAAAAACAGCACTGACTTCATGACTGAAGACAAGCAAATACATACATAACTGAAATAAAAATCTCCCCAAACAAAACAATCCCCTTACTACATGTCATGCCCTGACACAATTTATTATTATTTTTTATAATGCTATTTGTAACCCACTAAACTAATTTTATAACCTATTAAGTAGATGAAAATAAGCTGAAAAAAATACTAGTCTAGATTATTTTGGGGGTCTAGTACTTTACATTAAAAATCTATGTCATGCAAAAGTTATTCAAGAATTAGTAGACTAAGAAAAATTTTTTACCTACCTCAAACTTTCAACGACTTTATGCAATATATATTATCTATACTAAATCTCTCTACAAATCCAAAGATCAATCATGATTTCTATAGGATTGGTATAGAAGTTTAACACATTTGATCGTTTCTTAGGACAAAAGATCCTCCTAGGTTTGTCATATATTTCCCAGGGCACTTCCCCCACACTGCAGATGCCCAGGAACTCTGCCATACTGCTTCTCTGATTAATTACATCAGAGATCAGTTCTAAAGAGTAATGGCTGTCAACAAATGGAATTCAAGGCTTGTGAAATGAATACCACTATCTCGAGGGGCATGGTCATAGCAATATCCCTTTTAATTAAAATAAATGAACTTAAATTTCTCTTATGAAGTCCTACCTCCCTGAGGCTGAGTCTCCCCTTTGCCAGCTGCTTTTCTAAAGCCAGTTAAAGTAGAGCACCAGCAGTACATATCATTCCTACCAACAAGGAACCACTTTTTATGTCTGCTGATCTGGCCTGTAAATATTACATATGATAAGCCTCTTTCTTCCATTCAGTGTCTCTGTCTGAGGAGGTTAACATATCTCTAAGGTTGCAGGAGTATGAAAGGGAAAAGGCAAGAAGACACAGGAAGAGCTGAACAAACTTACCTGGTTTAAAGGGGAATGCGCCCCCATCACCAGAACTATCTGTGGAGCCTGAATTAGCATCTATTCCTTCACCCTCAGAAACACTCTCAGCACCATTGCGCACTGGCTCAGCTGCTTCTCCATTTTCTTCTATAGCTTTCATTTTTTTTAGGTCAGAGGGGTCTCTTTCAGGATGAAATCCTTGGTTCATTTTATCCTGTTCAGATTCAAGTACTTTGTCACCTGAAAGCTCTTCTTCGAGTTTAGGCTAAAAGTATAAGTGAACAAAGAGGTTATAAATTTTTTCTACTGTGTGTAAATATACAAGAAGACCTACACCCACTCCTCAAAAAGCATAGAAAACCATGTTACTCAAGACAAGGGTATCTGTTTTCAGCATATGCTACTAGAATAGGAAGTTTATTTTAAATACTTTTTCTCATTTCCTTTCCTGGGATGAGGCAGGCAATTCAAGTGGCTACTGAAATGCTTAAATATGACTAATGAAATCCAAATGTACCAAAGGGTAGAATGGAAAGAACTGTTAATCCCTGAACTTGATGGGAATGAAAAAGTTCAAGTTAGAAATCTAAAACAAGAACTCTTACCCTTACCACTAAAGCTGAGCAAATATAAAAAGAAATGAGAGCGCATTTTTTATGTCATCTTCTAACTGAAATGAAGAGCTTGATTAATAGCTTTAAGCTGATCATCTCTCTTTTACAAGGACTTGTTAGTTAAAATCTATTTTTGCTAATTGAAACTTAAAGTCATTTGCAACTGCGAGCCTTATTTAAACCATATATTGAAAAATGCTTGAAACATAGTCTGAGGAGAAAACTAGGTTCTGGTGCATCATAAACCAAAACAAACCCATTGATGCTGAGCCAGTTTCAACTCCTAGTCCTACAGGATGACTCCATATGGTTCCCAAAGCTAAAGTTAACAAGCAGACTGCCATGTCTGTTTCCCACAGAGCGGCTGGAGGGTTCGGAATGCCAACATTTCAGCTAGCAGCCAAATGCTTAAACACTGCAGCACCAAGACTCTTCTGTGTATCGTATCAAAATTTTTGCGGGGGAATGGTTAGGATAAGGAGTGAGAGTTAAGAGTTGGGACTATGGTAGGTCTAGGATAGGCCTAGAACTTCATTTATTGTTACAGTTAGTGCTAAGGGTAAGGGTTAGGCTAGTGCTAGGAATAAGACTTGGTCTGGTTTTTAGGGTTACAATTACGTTTATTTTAATTAATTTTTCTTGAAGTCTATTTGATTTCCTCTTCATTTGTAAGTGCATTATCTTATGGTTTCTTTTTGGTTACAACGATATCTACAGTTTTCTATTTTCAGTCTTATAGTCTATTTTTCTTTGCAGATTTCTATATCTGGGTTGAATCTAGGTGACACTATCCCGTATTTTAGTCTCAGGTTGTTGTCTACTATTGCTGGTTCTCTGTCTAAAAGAACTACCCTTAGAACTTTTGTAAGGATGTTCTGGTTTTTATAAATCTTTTAATTTCTGTTTATCTGAAAATGATCTAATTTCACCATCAATATTTGAGGGGCAATTTTGCTGTATATATGATTCTTGGTTGGCAATTTCTTCCACTTTCTTCTTGCTTACATGGTTTCTGCTGAGAAATCAAAGTTTAGTCTCATTAGTTTTCCTTTGAAGGCAACTTTTCAGTTTTCCTGAGCTGTTTTTAGGATTCTTTCCATTTCTTTGGTTTTAAAAAGTTTGCTTATAGTATATGTTGGTGTTTTTCTTTTAGGGTCTATCCTATTTAAAGTTCCTTTAACTTCTTTAATGGCTATCTTCTCATCTTTCATGCTGTTAGGGAAGTTGTCTTGCAACAACCCTTGGCCAGCCTCTCTGAGGTGTTTTGTTTCTTCCTTTCCTGGAATTCCTATCACACAAAAGTTATTTCTCATAGATCTTAGGTTTCTTTAGATTTTTTTTTTTGGTCTTTTTTTTGATTGCTCCACTAGCAGATGAATATTGAGAGATTTTTCTTTAATTTCAGCAATTTGGCTATTCATTGATTTAGTTCTATTTCTTTGCCTCTTCTGAAGTCTTAGTGTTAACCTTCTGGCTTTCTAGTTGCTGTTTTTGTACAGTTCCCATTATTTCAATTATTTTGTCAGTTTGTTTCATGCATAGTTTTGTCCTTGATTTTATCTGTAGTTTTCTCAATCTTTTTCACAATCCATTGAAGTTGCCTAGTCAGCATTTAAAAAATTTCCTTATTAGGTAGTCCCCATACCATTTCTGGTGTTCTATTTTCTGACCCTGTATTCTGATCACCTATTTGAAGTACTCTGTTTTGGTTCTTCATGTAAGCTGAAACTGTTTTATCCAAGAAAATTAACTGTTTGTATTTTTTATACTGTATAATAATCTATAAGATTATTGGTACATTGGATTTAGTTGATGATTATATATTAGTGCATCCTCAGGCACTACCACCTACCTGCCTTCTGGTGAATGTGGTATTGAGTAGAAATGTGAATGCAGTTTTCTTGTCACTGTTTATGTAGATTAGGGTGGAATCATATGTCTCTAAAAGCAGGAGCATTATGTCAGGTGCCCAATCCCAGGCAAAGCAAGAGGCTGTGTAAGAGGAGGTACCACTGGCTGCAGGCTTGGTCAGGGTGGGGACTGGGCATGCTCCTGGGTACTAGAAGAGCATGGAAACAAGGGAAAATTGCACCTCCTTACCACCAACCTTCAGCCACGTCCCATGCCTGCAGGATGCTGTATCAACAACCACTTGCAAAAGCTCAAGATGGCTGCACCATGCCATGCCAGCTCATAGCCTACCAGTTTTCTTCTCTCTCTCTGCTACTGTTCAGCTTCTTCTAGTTGGTACCCCATCCACCTCTTTGTCCTATTCTTTGATGCTAAAAGTTCCAAGATCACCATCTGTTTCACTTGCTCATCTATGTCTTTGTTGCAGAGGGTCAGTTCAGTAGCGTCTGCTCACTCATCCATCTTGCCTAGGACTCCTCATACCAATTTTTTAAAGACCAAGATATAATTGAAGCTATTCACTAGATTATTTTTGACCATCTCAGTTTCAGGTATCAAATAAAAATGGATTTCTTAAGGGCTATATGAATCATCAAAATGCCTCGAGGCAAAGCTCTCCATAAACTTTAAGTCTTTTTTCTCTATGATTAAGGGTAAGAACTATAAAAGCAATTCTTTGGAAGAAGCATTAAGAAAATGGCTTTTTGCTTGTAAACCCATTTTCAGCTTATAATGGATTGGAATACCTGAAAGGGGTTCTAGAATTTGCCTACTGAAACAGACTTCTTGTGAAGCCTTTGTAGAGTACAGTGCCTGGGATTGACTCCTGAACCCCACAAAGAACCCTCCTGAGGTGGGACATTTCCACTTGAAAAGATATGCAGACCAACCTGTAGTAGCTAGAGAAACAGAAGATACTTCCTGAAAGAAAGGCCAACAGGTAAAGAGAGACAAAAGAAAAAAGAACAAGCAAACTATTTGCCTGGGAGCCATCAAGGCAAACCATCAAATCACTTAAGGACAAACCCCCTTCTAAGACTGAAGCTCAAAGGGAACACACGAGCAGGTTTGTAAGCTCACTGGTGACCATGCTGGTCTACTTGTGAGTAGAAGTGGGGGAAAGGCAGTAATAAACACATGGGCTGAGTTTGACCATGTTCCACAGACTCCTGTCGACCTTGAGATGAGAGAGAGAAGACACTGGCTACCTAAAATGGGGGAGGAGGCCTATAAAGGCATGAAGTGGCTAGCTTACAAGTTTTCATAAGGGAGTTTAGTTTCATTCAGAGTGAGTGGGGGAAGGAAGAATCCTACTGAATAGTTTCCATCTTGTCTTGATGGGTCAGGTGAAAGGATATGGGGATAGCATTCTTTAGATTTAATAGTGAGCAATTGTTATCATGACTAATTGTGATTGTCACAAATGTAAAGGTAGCAGATGTGTAACAAAAAGGGGGAAGTAGTTAATCTTACATTCAGGAAGAGAGGACCCTAGGACCAGCAAATGGGAATAGCATGAGTGGAACGTGGGATCCTAACCAGACATGGCAGGCAGCAGAGACAACGGCATGGAGAGATAGAGCATCTGAGGACTCTAGACTCAGGGAAATAAAAAGACTGTATACTGACGGGCAGGAGGCTGGTTTGCAAGATGTGTCCTTAGGTTGTGTACATCAAATAAGGTGATTTTAATCATTACAATGAACCAAGATGTGATTGGTTAAGTAAAAAACTGATATTCTGCCACGTAGATTATCACTCAATTCACAATAAAAGCTGTAAAAAAATAAAAAGCCAAAAAGTGGGGTCAAATCAACAGAGAATTATATGAGTGTTAAAAAGAGTGTCAGGAAGTGGTTCAACCAAAATGATTTACAAAATTTTATTTTTAAATTAAGTGACAAATTTACTGTAAGAAACATAAGGTATAACAGATACAACACTTTCAAATTTTATTCTATTATATGGTGTGCTGCTATAGGATGAGTGTGGACTGCTAACCAAAAGGTCAGCATTTCAAGCCTACCAGCTGCTTATTGGGAACCCTATACAAGGGTGCTAGAAATGAGAAATGACTCCACAGTACTTAACAACAGCAACAACATGTGGGGAATGATTATAAGGGTAAATAAGCTCTATTTAGATTTAAAATTCTATCAACAGAAACAGATGGCTTTAGGCCCAGTTTTCAAACTGACAATAAAAGAGTTTATGCAAATACACAGAGTCTCCTCCTCCCTTCATGGGGGTAAGTCAGTATATTTATATTATCAAAAGAAATAAAGATAAAAAGTTAGAATGATTTCTTTTTATGAAAATGGCAGAAAATAGTCCAATAAAAAACAGAGCTAGCCGATTAGATTCCATACTCTACTATACAGTACTCTAACTCATAATGACCTTCGTAATACAATTTTATAATTAAGTACAAGATCATCATGAGGATCTTCAATAATTTGGGATAGAAGTCTACAAATGGTACTTACAAATAAAGTTATGAAAGAACAGGAAAACTACACCTTGCAATTATAATTTAATTTCTAAAGAGAAGTCTAAAGAAACTTGCTCTCTGAATGGCAAATCATAATCCAGGGAACCCAGAATCATAGAGTTGTCCATGGCTTGTTGTCATGAGTGATATTATAAGGGAATCCACAAAAATAAAGAAATTCATTATTGATGATTACTTTACTTGCAGGAGAATGCGGCTCTATTCAATTAGGTCATGTCCAGCATTTCGTAGGTTGTTTACTCAGAAAACCACACTGGAAAAAGAAAGCAAATCATTGGCTGGACTATCCAAGGTAAACCTTTTTATAGGAACCTGTTAAAAGCATACTTTTCTTGAGAAAACTGTCTAAGGCACTGAGTTTTTGAAGTGCTAGAAAATCAGACTGACCTATACATATGTAGTGATTGGTGAAATGCAGTTACTCTAAAATGTTTAAACATTCTACGAGGCCTCAATCAGCAATTTTAAGATGAATCAATTTTCATATTATCTTTCTTGGCTATAATTTAAAGAATTTGATAAACTTAATATTTGCAATGACTCAACAGTGTTGAATGTGCTGTTGAGTCAAAGTGACTCAGTATTAGGTTTCTGAAGCTGTAAATCTTCATGTGAATAGAAAGCCTCATCTTTCTCCCATGGAACAGCTGGTAGATTTGAACTGTTGACCTTGTGGTTAGCAGCCTAGAGTGTAACCCATTATGCTACCAAGGCTCCTTGAACAGTATAGTGTTGTTGCCGTTGTTAAGTGTCATTAAGTCAGTTAGGACTCATAGGGTTTCTGAGGAGTGATGGTTAGCAGTCCAGTGCTTAACCTACAGTGCTAGATGAGGACCCCAATATAATATGTAACCATAAATAGGCTGATGTTTAAAACACATTATTTTAAAGACTAAGAAAATTAGGAAAGGGTGGAGCTTGATTAATGGAAATGTAGACAATGGCATCCAGCATTCACTAAACTACTCAAAATAAAAAATGCTCCTTTTCAGGAAAGACAAGACATTAGAATTTCTGAAAAAGGTTTGAATAAATCATCAAATGCCTTTTTAATTTTACTTTTAAATTGTAAGGTTAAGAAAAAAGTGACTGGTTCAAAATGAGTAAAAAAAAAAAAAATCATATTCAAGGACTAACAATCTACAAATTTCTCCAAACTGTAGCCCAATAGCCAAACTTGGTCCAGCATCACTTTCTGTATAGCCTGCAAGATAATAATGGTTTTAATGGTTCAATAAATGTCAAAAGAATATTATATGACATGAAAATATGCTATGGCATTCAAATTTCAGTGTCCACCAATCAAGTTTTACTGAAATGCAGTCACCCATGCGAGAGTTTCAAAAGTTCATGGAAAAATTCCAGTATCTTGTCATTCCATTCCTTGCCCCTTGTATTTGCTTATGAGTCAACTATGACGACTTTTGGGCTACCACAGCAGAGTTGAGAAATTGTGACAGAGGCCATACAGCCCACAAGGCCTAAAATATTTATTATCTGGCCCTTTACAGAAAAACTAGGATGAATATTAGAGGGAACAGGTGTGGTGGCAGCACATTTAAGATCAACACTGCTTAGAAATCTAGCCACAGGGTAAAGGGACATCATGTACAAGAGAAGAAAATAAATAAAAATAGTTGAACTAAAGTGGAAGCAGTCGATACATTCTTTCAGCCATACCAAGAATGTATGTGATTCCCCTGCCTCTGGAAGGTACTTAAATCTCTGTAGGCACAACATTTTCTTGGTCAGCTGCAGGTGTACAGCAACCACTATACTTATACTGTCAAAGCTTATTGCTTAGTAACTATAGTGAAATCACACCCAACCAACAGTTCAGTGGTTGCTAAGCGACTAACTGTGACATCACTAGAGCATGATGTAAGAGCAGTGACTGGCAGAGAAAAGTAACAACGGGGTACTGTTTAGCTGCTTGCAGAGGGTAAGTATTTAACTCATTATGAAAATCTTCTGAAGTAAATGAATTTAAATTCACTTTAAGGTAATTTCTGTATTTGTATATTATTTTAAACCTTCAACAAAAATGATTTTAATAAAGTAGATATTATAAACCAAAAAACCAAACTCACTATCACTGAGCAAATTCTGATTCATATCAACCCTTAGAGGGTTTCTGAGGCTGTAAATCTTTATTGGAGTAGAAAGCCCCATTTTTGTCTCATGTGGAACGGCTGGTGGGTTTTAACGTCCGGCCCTGCAGTTCAATGCTTATCCTACAGTACCACCAGTGCTCCTTCCACAGATGCTGTTGAGTGCTTGCAAGTCGGTCTTGACTCATAGCGATCCTTTATAAGGTTTTCAAGGAGTTAACTGGTGGTAGGTTTGAACCATTGACCTTGTGGTTAGCAGTCCAGTGCTTATGCTATAGTGCCACATCAGACTCCTAGACTAGGAAATTGTTAGATCAACCCTTAGGACTAAATCTGCCCTTGTCTCTTCTTCATATCATCTATTGATCTTGGTATTATGTAACCTATAGAAAAATCTGGTGTGGCTTAGTTGAGAAACACAAACCACATGAACAAAAGTTGTTATTGGGATTTAGTTGAAAGATGAAAGACTCAAAACTAATTCTCTAAAACGTACCTAGTGATTTCTACCATCATTGCTAATGGGTATTTAAAAATTTTTAAGTTTTCATTCTTTGATTTACCAGATTAGTCTTTTTATCAATCAGGTGAATATAAAATTCAACAAGAAAAATTCAACTAGGGAGAGTTGGAGGGTTGGCCAAAATCTAAACAATAACTTATTTTTGCAATTTCAGAAATGTTATTTTGGGAAAAATAGATAAGAACTAAAAGAATCAAACATATTATTAAAAATCCCAAACAAAACAAATTGTACTGTAAATAGATCTTAAGTAAATCTCTGAGCTTGATATCTCAAGTTCACTAGAAAACCAGCATCTCAAGCAAGGGGTGTTAAGTCCACACCTGACTTCCGCACTGAAGCGATTTATGTCTGCCCCTTACCTCCAACTCTGTCTTCAGCACCTCTTCAGTGGTCCGGGTCTGGTCTTTTGGTTTTTTCCACATCTTTGGTGTAGTCATAGTTGTTTGAGCTGAAATACAAAATTGGGCCCATTACCTACCACTGTCAACCTATACTGGCAAACACTGGGTCTAAATGATACCCGTATTCAAACTCAGCAAAATGAAAGAGGGCTTCATTCATTCATACCTAAGAGATAGCTGGATGATCATGGTATTGTGCACTTGCATCCTACACACTGTAATGGAAATGTTTTAGATATAAAATGCATTGTTTGTTTACATCAGCTCATAAAGCCTTCCAATGAGACGCCTGGATTTCTCCGATATAGTGATTAAAACATATCTAGACATACAATTGAAAATGTGATGAGTATCTACATCAGAAAAATAAAATTGTGAGACCATCTTAGATCGTGGTCAGCTTCTATTGCCAACCAACTGTGTGATGATAAATTAACCATCTCACACTTTTCAGCCTCCTGTGTTACAACTATCAAGCATAAGAATGAGAAGAGATAATCCCTAACATTCCTTTAAAGCTATATCAAAAATTAATACCAGGATTTTGTTTTTTAAAGGTTTCTAGACAGCAAAAGAACGCTTGATGATTTCATCAGACAGGCAGCACTTCTACAACATTCAGCTCTCATCTCAAATTAGCCTTTCATACTGCTGGGGTGAAAAATTTAAAAGAAAATAGATAACCTTTCACTGAATTATTCTATAATATCCAATGTTCTAAACAGATTAATCTTACAAAGGAATTTCAGAAAGTCATTTGGCTTACAAATCCTACAAATTCAGTTATTCAACACTTGATGTACAATTTTAAAGATTACCATCGGACAACAAATAGAAAATACTACAAGAATCTTAAAGAAAGCAACTCAAGTCAACACACAGGAGTGAGATGTTACATGTAGATGGGTAGGGAAAAGAGTCAAAGGAAGGCCACTCTTAAGAGACGTAACCAAAGAGAAATAAATGCAAAGTTGAAGGTATCATCTGATTCTTCTATGGAAATAAAAGATTATTCATCAAGACTAAACCAGTCAATCTCTGGTATAGTCTCAAAAAAAAAAATTTTTTTTTTTTAAACAGCAAAATATGAATATACTAATTGTTCTTGGGAATAAGGAAAAAAAGATACCTCACATCTCAGAAATATTGTACCATCATAAGAAATATTGTTTAAGCTTTCATGACCTGTGGGGTTTAGTGGGAAGCTGCTGTCCCATTTTTGGTTCAAGCTGACATCTGGTGGGAACCCTGTAACTGTGTCATTTTCAAGTCATGATTTTGAGGTACTGATTTCAAGTACTAATTCACAATAAGAGGAGGAGAGCAAGAGCACATATCTTTTAAAAACTGAATACACACAAATAAACACACATACTGAGATTTTGATATTCATCCCCTTTCCTACCATTATGGATAGGGAAGTGAAGTAGAATTTGGGTGTGAGAGAGAAGGGAGCAGGAAGATAGATAATACCCCCAGATTTATAGGTCAAGTAATACTGACTTAGCTAGAAGAGTCGAATTAGATTTAAGATACTTTCTCAGATTTGGTTGAATTTTTCTAGTTGATTCCCATGGCCAACCCCTTATATAAGGCCCTATTACTGCATAAATTTAACATAATGCACTGGTGGTGGTTATGTGCTGTGGAGTTGGTTCTGACTCATAGCGACCCTGTACAGGGTTTCCGAGGCTGTAAATCTTTATAGGAGCAGAAATCCTCATCTTTCTCCTGTGAAACACCTGGTAGTTTCAAACTGCTGATCTTGAGGTTCACAGCCTGATTCGTAACCACTAAGCTACCACAGCTCCTTAACATAATGCACTACTTCCTATTAAGTCAACACACCCAATGATGACCTTTCTGAATAATTTATTTAGCTCAAGTTGTTACTCTGTTTAAAAACATTCTTTAAGGCATCATCATAGTGCCAAAGTACTCTGCATAGAATGGATACTCAAAATGGCGGAGTGAATAAATAATAGCATCTTTATGTAAAATGAGTATTTAAATACCATATGACAAGTGACAATTACTGCATGAGTCATAATTATCTAGATTTAGCAATGCTCAAAGAAGGCTCCCCTCTCCCAGTAAGAACAAACTCTTACAAGCACACTTAATTTCCACTACTTGTGAAATAAAAAAAAAAGGAAGGGAAACGATAACTTTGGAGAATACAAACCATATAGACACACATTAAAATGATAAGTAAACACCAACAATAAAGCAGTACTGTGACTTCAAGATCTGCACGTATTTTTCCATCACTGCTCTTTAATGTGACTAATACAAATTCAGAAAAATGTTAGGAACACAGAAAATTCTAATTTTTTATTTTCTTTTTGAAGTTTTAGGATTATTCCCATTTTCAACTCTCAATCAAATTTATGCACCAACCCCTAAAGCCAGTGGTGACGAAATTGAAAAATTCTACCAATGTCTTCAGTTGGAAACTTATCAAACATGCAATCAGAATTTATTGATCGAATGGAATGCTAAGGTTGGAAACTCTTAAAGAGGAAGGACCAACAGTTGAAAAATAAGGGCTGGTGATAGAAAAGATGCTGGAGGTTGCATGGGAGAATTTTGTATGACCAATGACTTCTTCATTGCAAATATTTTAAACAACATAAAAGATGACAATATATATGGACTTCATCAGATGAAATACACAGAAATGAAACTGACTGTATCTGTGGAAAGACACAGGCACAACAAGGCCAGGGGCAGACCATGGAACAGACCATCAACTGCTCATATGCAAGTTCAGGCTGAAGCAGAAGAAAATTAAAACAAGTCCAAGAGAGTCAAAACATGACCTTGAACATATTCCACCTGAATTTAAGAGATCATCTGAAAAGCAGATTTCATGTATTAGACACTAAAGACCGAAGACCAGAATAGTTGTGGGATGAATATCAAGAACATCATACAGAAGAAAGCAAAACATCATTAAGAAGACAAGAAAGAAGGCAAAGCCTAAAATAGATGTCAGAAGATACTCTGAAGCTTGCTCTTCAGTACAAAGATACTAAAGCAAATGGAAGAAATGAGGAGGGGCAAAAGAGCTGAACAGAAAATTTCAAAGGTCAGCTTGAGAAGACAAAATCAAATATAATGAAAGGTGCAAAGTCCAGGAGTTAGAAAACCAAAAGGGAAGAATTTCTCAAGCGAAAAGGAATGAAAAATAAATTCAAGCATGGAGTTGAATATTGAAGGATTCTATGGGGGAAATACTGAATGATGCAGAAAGCATCGAAAGAAGACGGAAGGAAGTTTTTGGTCACTGTAACCAAAAAAAAAAAAAAAGTTCTATGTTCAACCATTTCAAGAGGTAGCATATGATCAAGAGCCAATGATACTGAAGGAAGAAGTACATGGTGCATTGAAGGCCTTGGTCAAGAATAAAGCACCAGGAATTAATGGAATACATATTCAAATCTTTCAACAAACTGATACTGCACTGGAGGCACTCATTCATCTATGCCAAGAATTTTGGAAGACAGCTACCTGGCTAACTGACTGGAAGAGATCCTTATTTGTGCCCATTCCAAAGAGGTGACCCAACAAAATGCAAAAATCATCAGACAATATCATTAATATCCCATGCAAGCAAAATTTTGCTGAAGATAGTTCAAAAGTGTTGTTTATTGGTCCAGTGCTGAGGATTTTTTTCTTTACATTGAGATGCAATCCATACTGAAGGCTGTGCTCTTTGATCTTCATCAGTAAATGTTTTAAGTCTTCACTTACAGCAAACAAGGTTATATCATCTGCATATCATAGGTTATTAATGAGTCTTCCTCCAATCCTCCAATTTTAAAACATTCAGTGTTCCCACATTATGTTCAAACAACTGCTTCTTGGTCCAGGTACAGATTCCTCATGAGCACAATTAAGTGTTCTGGAACACTCATATTTCGCAATGTTGTCCATAGCTTGCCATGATCCACATAATCGAAAGCCTTTGTGTAGTCAATAAAGGACAGGTAAACATCTTTCTAATATTCTCTGCTTTCAGCCAATAGCCATCGGACATCAGCAAGGATATCCCTTGTTCCATGGCCTCTTCTGAATCAGGCTTGAACCTCTGAAAGTTCTGTCAATATATGCTTGCAGCCATTTCTGTATTACCTTTAGTAAAACTTTACTCGCATGGGATATCAAAGAGATTGTCCTATGATTTCCGCATTCCGTTGGGTCACCTCTCTTTGCAATGGGCACAAATACGGATCTCTTCCAATCAGTCAGCCAGATAGTCATCTTCCAAATTTCTTGGCATAGATGAGTGAGTTCTTCCTGTGCCACCTCACTTTCTTGAAAGATTACTATTTTTATTCCATCAATTCCGGGTGCCTTGTTCTTTGTCAATTCCTTCAATGCACCTTGGACTTCCTCCTTCAGTATCATTGGGTCTTGATCATATGCTACCTCTTGAAATGGCTGAACATTAACCATTTCCTTTTGGTACAATGACTCTGTGTATTCCTTCCATCTTCTCTTGATGCTTTCTTCATCATTCAGTAATTTGCCCATTCTTATCAATGGAGAAAAGATTGAAGTTGTCAAAGACTTCAATCTTCTTGGATCAATTACCAACACTCATAGAAGCAGCAGTCAAGAAATCAAACGACGTATTGCATTAGGCAAATCTGCTGCACAATACCTTTGAAGAGCAAAGATGTCAGCTTTAAGACTAAGGTGTGCCTGACCCAAGCCATGGTATTTTCAATAACCTCATATGCATGAAAGCTGGACAGTAAATAAGGAAGACTGTAGAAGAACTGATGCATCTGAGTTATGGTGTTGGAGGAGAACACTGAAAGAGTCATGGGCTGCCAAAAGAACAAACAGATCTGTGTTGGAAGAAGTGCAGCCAGAGTGCTCCTTGGAGCCAAGATGGCCAAAGTTCATCTCTCATACTTCAGACATATTGTCAGGAGAAGGATATCATGTTTGGTAAGGTGGAGGGTCAGAGAAAAAGTGGAAGACCCTCAGTGAGATGATCGGCAAAGTGGCAGCAACAATGGGCT